CACGTTAAAACCTTGAAATAAATTACTACGAAGTTTTGGATTCAATGAGTAACGAATTGCAAGAACGTGATGAAGAATGTCGTGAATGAGTTTGGTTTTTTGATGCCAGGGAAATTAGTCAATCTAAAAGAAAACGCAATAGAAACCAGCGTCACATTTGATGGAAGAATATTCTGAATTTTTAACTACAGATCTAAAATATGAATTAGCTAGTTTTACGAGCATGTATTTTTCAGAAAATCGTAATTTTACTAATGACAGCCCGTTAGATTATTTGACGTTCATGATCGCAAACAATTTTATATTCAGTTTTCCAGAGAGCTGCAGTCTATTCAGATTGTTTTTCACTTTGCCTATCGGTTCAGCTAGTGCTGAACGTGTCATGAGCTCTTTGAAAGAATTTATAAAGAGTACCGTCGAGCTTCTTTGGCTGAAGACACACTCAACAACTTCTCTATCCTTTATATCGAAAGATCAGTAGCTAATATACTCAATTTGGATTCTGCAATGGAAGTCTTTGCTGAACGAAAAGCAAGACGCGGATTCAAATTAGAATAATTCTGTTATTTTGTATTGAATAAAAAATGTTTGATCTCACAGTCTCTACTTGATTGAGGTTATATAGACATATAGTAAAAAAACAGAGGTAACATTGCGTAGCGGATATTATTGTGCATATAATTGTGAGCCCCTGTTGATATGTGACATCCTTATTGCCAACAAAATCTGTAGTTCGGACTTCTAAACAATTTATATGGATTTTACGTTATCGAGAAATTTCAGATGCGCGTGAGTATTGAAACAGTTGAATTAGCTGTTTTATTGGCACGTTGAAGCAGCATCAAATTAACTTTTTGCAGAATCTATGAGCTTGTTTCGGTTCGGTTACTTGTGTGGGTCTTTCTAATTTTTTTATTCTCTGTTGCCGTCATTGATTTGCAAATAGCGACAAATGTGGAGAATATCACTTTCGCAAATAGTTCCCAGTATATATACTGTAGTAATGCACGTTATTTAAAGTATTTTAGTGTTGTTCACCAAGTTTGTATTCAATGAAGTATTAATCACGGCAAAAATGACAACCACTATCGATCATATTTGTTTTTTTCTTCTTACTTGCAAATTCTATGAATAGCATGCACTCTAAATATGACTCGACGCCCTTTACTTATTGGTAGCATCCTTGATAACTCTTAAACTCTATTATGCACAAGAAGTTTGCTGGTGAATTATCAAGTTTAATTTACTTCAAAAAATTACGATGCGTATTACAACGTGTCCCGTGCCCATGCGCACTATTTCTAGAACACCCTAAGTTTTGCGGGCAAATGTACGGGAAAATTTATAAAGCGTGGAATATGCCTATTGAATGCATATAATTACTGGGATTGGGAGTGTATTAATATACTTGGGCGAAAAAGGCGAGATATCTCTTCTTCGACCACCTTCAACCTTCAACCTCCAGCTTCAACAAGTCATAGTTTTAGAGATATTTGTCATTTCGTCTTTCCCTATAACTTCGCCGCCACTGTATCCATTTTTCGTTCTTGATATACTCGTAACCTTGTGCCAAGATTTCATCAGAATCCGTCCGGTACCTTCCAAGTTATAGCAGGTCCAAGGATTAATGAACATTCAGATCGACAGACAGACCTATAGACCGACAAACCTGCGGAAATGAGAGGCGCGGTTTTTCGTAGCACATGTCAGATAACACCTAAAGACATAGATACGTAGTTTAGAAATTTTTGGCGAGTACAGTAGTTCGTCGCCATTTGATGTGGGAAGTGAAAGGCTGCTAGTATGTCCGGAATCACACTAAAGTATTTTTTTTGACAACTGTTTTTTTATGTGCTATAGCAAAGCTGGGATGGATCATAGCATTTGCATAAAAATAAATGTAGGGTTTTCAAACTCTGCATCTGGGGAGATATGAATAACCAAGACATCCGATTGATGTATCATAGAAATTACAATTGGTAATAAAATCATTTCGTCTGATGGCTGACAGAGGGGAAGGCCTAAAACCCTAAAAGCATTTAGATCATCAATTTCTTATTATCACTGGGCGCCTCCTCGCCACAGAAAAAGACTTAATAAGCGTGAGGGTAGCACAAGAGTATAAGCAGTTGTCAAGGAAATTGATGGTGACATGGAGACAAACTTTATTACTCGCTTCAGATATTTCTCTCTCGAGCCATCGTCCTCATTGTTTACGACGTCTCTTTATTTCATAAATACGTGCAGACAAATTAAACGCCTTAAGGCCCTGCGATTCTACTGGTTTGTTGCCAGGGATTTTGTATCATAAAAAGTTACTGTCCTGAGATATGAATAGAAAGCGGAGGAGACATTTTTGAATGAATAGGTAGAATTCATCCTAAGGAGCTTTTCCAATAAGCACAAATCTTGTCCGAATTGTTGTCCTCTATTGCGTATGCATGCACGACACCTTTGTGTTATCTCGACGGTTTTCGCACGTAGGCGAATTTCTTGCCAAATCGTACCAAACGCCTCTTCTATTCTTCGGATCAACTCCTCCCTTGTTCCAACTTCGTCGCGTAGACGAATGGAGTTAGGTCTGGAGAACGTGCAGGACATGGAATAGGACCATCGCGTCTAATCCACGCATTCGGAAAAACATCATTTAGATGTTCCCGCGCAATTAGCCTCCAGTGAGCAGGACGGCCATCATGTTGGAACACAATTCGTCTGTCGCGATTGAAAATTGGCACCTCATTCACCAATTTGGGCAACTTATTTTGCAGAAAATGTAGATAATTATCTCCGTTAAGACGATCTGGCAAATAATGTGGCCCAATCACATGATTGCCAATTACTTCTGCCCAAACATTCACACTGAATCTTCTCTGAAAAGAGCTTGGCCTCTTCACTCTTGGGTTCTGATCTTTGGACGCCCAATGGTGCAGATTGTGCAAATTAAGTATCCCTTCCTTGGTGAATTTGGTCTCATCCGTCCACAGTATACTTATCAAAAAGTCCGGATCGTCCACGTCTGTGTGCAGCAAGAAACGACAAAACCGGACTCGCTTGTCGAAGTCATTGTTTTCAAGACCTGCAATCAAAAAAATACAGATAACATTAGTTTGGCGCCGCTACATGCTAAATAAAAACGATAAGAAGTTTCCATTGCAGACAGTTGTAAGTCTGATAAAAAAAAATCGTACATTGAACAGGAGTGTAGTTGAAGGCATGTTTATTATTCTGGCGAAGTACTTTCCATACTTTCCAAAATGAAATTCCCAGTGATGAAGCTACATTTCGGATGCTTTGAGCAGGATCTTCCTCGACACTGTGTCGCACTACGACACCTCTTGGTACATTATTGCTCAGAGTGCCGGTTTCTCGTAAGGGTCGATAAGTATTTCGGAATGTGTGGCGAGTAGGTACACACCTGTTAGGATAGCGGTCTTCGTAGGTTTTTTGCGCTGCTCGTGCAACACAGTTGTCTTGTCCGTACACCAACAACATGGCTGCATACTCTTCATCTGTAAATGCAGCCATCATCAAAGCAAAACTCAGCGACAACTGACAAAACAACAACAATCACAGGTCGCGGCACTACGTAGAAGTAACAAAAGGGTTAGGCAGCTAGCAGGGATGAACCTCGATGGAAAAATGGACCCATGTCATCCCTGTCGGTTAGCCGCTCAACTAGTAAAAAAAAGAGACAGATGCTACAGCTCCGCTGTGTACGAGGGAGACAACAGTTATTACCTGAGTTACGTTGTACGTGTAAATTGCACAACAGAAACAAAAATTCATTGTTATTATCCGACCCAAAAAATTTGACCCTGTACACAAAATTTGCAAATTCAAGAAATTCTTTCAACTTTTTTTTGTGACTTGTGGCATACCGTTAGCATCGGGATAAACTAGAGTAGTTTTTAAAGGAATTCTAAGAACGTGAACGCTTTTAGTTTTTTTCTTACAGAAATTTAAAATTGAGCCTTTCATTTTTTTGTTCTTCTTTGTTACCCTTTGTGAGTTTATAAATAAAAAACTACATGCTGCTGGCAAGTTATGTTGATTTTGTAAGATTGGTACATTGGTCCATTAAGATAAATTAATCATTAGGTGGACATACTCTTTATTTGTTTTAGTTCACTTTGTGTATGACATTTTGAAGTTTTAACTAAAAAAAAATTAAAAGATCTACATAATTAGTGCCGTTGGGCTGAAAACTGTTTGAGGGACCTGGGTGATATAAAAATACCTCCCCCGTCCGCCATTTCAATTTGGCAAACGATGCACCAAATACCCTGTATTTATATGGGCGGATTTGGAGCCATATCAGAACTCGATGACGGACATATTTTGGTGTCAAATGTATAAAAACACCTTGTCAGTGATTGCCTTCATGGATCCTTGTGTAACAGCTCCTCGCCGTGATTAGTTAGTAGAGGTCACGTGGCTACAGGTGTTCCGCGACCATGTAGATGCAGCCTTACTGTACTAACTTTTTCTGCCGAGAGGATATTTAAGTAGCTTATCGAACTGAATGTCCTCACGTACACAATATAGGTGTATATATTGCGATGTGAATCGCACAGTCTTTGTTGCTAAATAGGGATACATTAAATAAGTCAAGGATATGACGGTGAACATTTTTCAAAGGTACAGCATTAGTAAACAATTCTGCTTAATCAGCGATGTTGGAAATTGAAGAATATGAAAAATTGTTTACATCAAATAGCAACAATAGAGGAAAAAAACTGAATATTGGAAGCAGTGGGACGCCTTGTTTGAATTCTACTCTGTTCTTGTAAACATTTGTTGTGGTTGAAGTAGTTCTTGGCTAAAAGCAGTTAGCTAATTAAGCATAATATGAAAATAACTGCCACCGTTCACTATATCTATCGAATAAAAAGATATGGAAGCAGCTTAATTAGTTTGATATTGGAAACCTTTTCCTAAAATTAAAGTTAAAGATTCGGTTGGCCCTTTTGCCTGTTTCAGTGTTGTTAGGTATACAAACCTTATATGCCTTCCAGACTCACGGCGAGAAGTCTCGGCGAGAAAATTCGCCGAGACTTCTCGCGAACAACGGCTATGTCCACATTCACACTGAATCTCACTTCTGTTCTCGTCTTTATACGGTATGGACGACAGTGCAGCGGCTTTGATGGTATCTGCGTTGGCGTACTATAACCTTGTAAATATAATCATTAGGAATAGAATTAATAAGAAAAGGCCCAGACGTTGGTGGATGACGCAAATTCATCTAAGCAGAACAAGGTTTGAGAATTTTAGTTTTGTTTAAATTCTGGTTTATTTTTTTATTAAAAATTATCATAATACACATTATATAGTAGAGTAAATGTATAGGTATTTTCCATTTCAGCTTAAGCATGCAAAGTCAGTTGGGAGAACTTATTGCTGAACCAAGTGGAGAATTTAAGAAGTCCACGCGAATGTCAACTACGGACTTTGAATTTTTGCTCAACAAGATTTCTCCTCTAATTAGCAAACAAGATACACAACTTCGAAAAGCTGTACCAACCCGAATGCGTCTTGCTATGACATTGAGATACTTGGCCACGGGAGAAAGCTTTCAAAGCCTTCATTTTTTATTCAAAGTGTTACCGCAATTGATTTCAACAATTGTTCCCGAAGTATGTAAAGCACTGAATCAAGTATTGATAAAAGAAATACAGGTGAGTTTTGAACAACATATTTATTAACTAAGCATTATTAAAGGCATTGCAAATAACATCACAACGATAGGTACTTCTCAATAGGTCGACCGAAATAATGTGTATGTTTGAGCTACTTTGTGCATCTGCATTTTGTAAGACATTAACTTGTGGTGATTCAGAATACATTTGAATTGTATATTTTTCTTCGGATGGTGTCTGAATTTGTAGTGGTTTAGAATACACTAGGAGTGTATGTTCTACTTCTGATGTATGAATCTCCGGCGGTGCGGAATCTGTCATACGGACATTTTGTATAGAAGCCATTTTGTGTTGCAGAGGTTCAGAGTAGCAAGAGATACCAGGGGAAGGGGAAAATATAGCAGATGAAGATCGAGTGTATTCTGAAGATGGATTAAATACTCTGTTTGTGAACCTGTTTGGTTGCTTTGTTCGTCGACGATTGAGAATTATGCCATTGAACTCATACATGATTTCTAGTCGTTCTTCTTCAGAGAAAGCTCTTAATTTCTTGGCTAACCCCATGCCATATATTTCACAGTCATCCGGATGTTCTTGAGACTCCCTTCTTTTAACACTTTCTTGAAACAAACTCAGTGCCTCCTTCACATGCCTTCCGGCCTCTTTTACCTCGCACTGAAGGGAACGAGAACGACCAGTTCGTGGTGTTGTTATTTCATTTTTGGTTTCTCCTGGTTTATTCATTATTTCCTCTTCTGAAATAATTGTACTTTTGCCTGGCTGTTCATCCTGAAAATAAAAGAAAAGCATTAGTATAAAGAAATTATTTATTCCTTTTCAGATTCCATCATCCGCTGAAGAATGGCTGGAAATCGAAAAAGGATTCAGCTCAAAATTTCCTAGAGCCATTGGTGCAATAGATGGCAAAATATTGTTCTGACGTGTCCACAAAATTCAGGCTCGGAGTACTTCAACTACAAGAAAAGTTTCAGTATTGTGCTGATGGCATTAGTCGATAGCAAATATAACTTTATTTTTGCTGATATTGGTGGTCAGGGAAAAATAAGTGATGGTGGAATTTTCCGACATACTTTGTTGTGGGAGATGATTTCTAGCAACACTTTGAATTTACCAGCGTCACATCCACTACCAGGTTCAAATGTTGATATACCTTACGTATTTTTGAGTGACGGTGCATTTGCGCTGCACCCGAATATCATGAAACCTTATCCTGGTAACCATGACAGGGATAGCCCTGAACGCATGTTTAATTAAAAAACTATCTGGATCACGCGTAGTCGTAGAGAATATATTTGGAATATTGTCATCAAAGTTTTGAATATTTAAAAGGCCAATTGAGATGTGCCCCGAGAAATCTGCTGTTATCACCATGACTTGTATATTATTACATAATTATTTAATAAAAAGCAATACTTCTCTAATTCAGCCTGGGACATGGCGTATAGATAATTCAAGCACTAATGCTATTCAAAATATACCATCAATAGCACGCCGAGCAGCTGCCAACGCAAGGCAAGTACGAGATGAGTTCAAAAATTATTTTTCCAATGTAAATTGAGAAAAAGCTATAATTTTTCAATTTACATATTTTTACTGTACAATAGGTACTAAAATGTTTATTGAAATAAATGAAAAGTTCTTACCCTTGATTGCGTATTTATTGTTATCTTCGGAGTAAGTCCATCACTCAGAAATCCATCCAAAGCCTCATATGCAAACCATACTGGTTTGTATAATTCATTTTCCCCAGCACCCGATTGGTGGGAATCTTTAACCATCTTTCTGTATTTCCGATAACTTGCAAAAAGAGATTCCTTCTTCTTCTTGAGATCTGGTATTGGTAGGTCCATCAATTGTGCAATTCTACCCCACGCGTCGTGATTTAGATTCTTGTTTTTGTAATTTCGGTGTTTTGTGTCCCATAATATGGGTTCTGCTTGAAAAAACTCTATAAACTTCAATTCTATGTCATTGTCCCACATTTTCTATTTTAAAAAGTTCACGAAATAAAACAAAAATACTTCCACTAACGTCGCAAGAATAACGTTGGTCGCACGTCGCACTGAGAACGGAGAATGTGGATAGCGTCCTTTTTCTCGCCCGAGAAAGCCTTTGTCTCTTGTCAAAAATACCGGCACCGATCGGAGAACAGGCGAGCGCGAGAACGAGACGGCGAGACACCATTCACACTCGCGCTTCTCGGGTGTTCTCGGGGCTTCTCGCCGTGAGTCTGGAGGCGCCTTTAGATTGGGACTAAGCACTCAGAGAAACAGGAAGTGCCATAAACCAGAATTACCTTACGACTATTCAGATAAAGCCAGTGTTTGAGGTAGATGCACTTTAGCAACGTCGATGACTGTAACGCATTAACACCTATTGATAAAAGATCTGCTCCCATTCAGCTTAAACTGCTTTTGCATTCCACAAAAACCTTCACCATTTTCGCCAATTATCTGGAACACTAGGAGTGTATGGAGGTCACACACTGCAGAAAAATACGAATTTAATTTGAAATGTCAAGAATTGTCAAAATGGCGTCCTAGACCTGATCGACTTGGATCCTGACTACGCACTACGTAATCTTGGTTCAAAACAAATCTTATACATTAATCCCTCTCGCTAGTTAGATTTCGTTGAAATATTATCGAATGGTGACCGACCAGTGTTCCTCATCAAGTATCAAACAGTAAACTGAGGTGGACAGCGCAATAAAATTAGCCGATAGCGCCTGTCTTAAAAAAATGTCCTTCAACTCGTAGCTTGTCTGCACCTTCATAATATTTTCTTGTACTTAATGTAAAGTACCACATTTGGAGTTCAACAGCAAGGTAAGTTTTCACATAGATCTTTGACTCATCTAGCAATGAATCCCGGAAAAGTTTTTCAAATATGCCCTCTGAGAGTTGCCGTAAACGTGAAATACAATGTGAGACATGACAATCTTCACGAAATCTAAAAAACTTTTCTCCAATTTGTAAATGTAAGTGTTGGAGTGTCCTCATAACCTGGCATAACGTATGGTGAGGACGTGATATTATCCAGTGTGACAACGAGAGATAGGAGAATATTTTTCGTCAGTGGCGCGTCCGTTTCACAGTCGAGGTTACTATGACGGATAAATTAAATACAGTAAACTTTGCAGAATGATTATACAGTTAAAGTTTGCGCTTTCCCGTTGAGCTACATAATGTGGAAACAAAAAACCATCATTCCTAAGGCTTAAGTATTATGCGAAATATGTGTGAGACTGTATCTCACTGGTGGGTAATACTACCAGGATCGAATTCCTCAATAATAAAACTCATTTCACATCTACAACCGCCAACACCGAATTTTAAGGAATCTATGTAATGTCAAAAAGCGATGAGCGGTTTTGTTTTCTTCACGCCGTCACGACCGATTTTCAAAATCTACAAAGACCTTTATTCTTTGGCATAGTAGTAACTTTGTGTGAAAATTTTATCGAAATCCGACTGCTACCTTCTATGCTATAGCGGGATCAAACATCAGCGGACAGACAGACTGGCCGACGGAATAGGTGACATCGTTTTTCGTAATATACGTGCTGTGTAACATCCAAAGAAGATCTCATTTATAAAATTTTGGTGCTCACAATGATTCCACGCCAGTGTCGGAGGGAATAAGGTGAGGGTAAAAGTTGAAAACATTTGCTTTCAATAGCTAGAAAGGGGGTGATTTCAAGGCAGCTTTTTATAAAAAGATGCTCCAATGGGCCACTAAGGACCAATTTCACCAACATTAATACTATGGACCAATGGGAAAATAGCTTATCGAAATGCAAATTGACGAAAGCTGCCAAAGGTCTCTGAATATTAGTGATTTCTATTGAAATATTGAATAAAATCGTGAAAATTCGACTGTATTATAAACAAGACCACTTTTGGATTCCAACATGATGCTTTTGTACAGAAAAAACAGGACAACTTTTATGTATTTTGATATATGTTATAGGCTTACATTTAACAATCCCCCTCAGCGAATGGGAATGCGGCAAATAATAAGTCGATTTTCTAGCTGTTAAATTTGGCAGCAGATTTGGACGTTTGTTAATGCATGGCACTCTTGAATTTACCAACTTCAATATACTGAAAGTTATCATTACATACCTGTTGAATAGTGTGGAATTGTCTGTATTTTGCAAGAAAATAGAATATAAAATACATTCCATCCAATTCCTCATCTTCCTTTATGTCATAATAGTAATCATTTATTAATTTGGGATAATGAATTTCTTCAAAGCAATAAAAACATTATGTCCTATCCATCCTAAAACACAGATAACATGTGTAAGACGTCAATCCCTATATCTCCCTGATGCATAATGCAATTACTATGGACATAGACAAAAAACTATGAAAAATGTTCACAGATAATGGCTGTCAAGTTCAAAAATCAAAAAACTAGTAATGTTTACTATTTGTCTATTTTTTTTTGACTGGCGGGGATATCTATCTGACACTGGCAGGGTTGCCAAGTCTAACGACGATCAAGTTCCGTGGTGTAGGGTGCGAAATGAATCTTTCACATTTGCTGGTTTTGAATTTTTTTCGTGAAAATTTACTAGGTATCATGATTATAAGCATCTTTGGTAGATAGTTCGATCGGGAATGGTAAAGATCTCCTATTTATGAAAATATTTTTGGTATCATCTAACTGTTGCAATCAGTGCACAAATACTGTGACATATGATTTATAGCATAACCCGCTGCCCTATCAATACAAATTTAACATACAGGTCGCCTAGCTGTGGGGATGCAGTGGTCGGGATGAATATCACGGCAGCAGCTGGTGATTTGGGCATGTCTGGTAAGAACGTATGAAGTGAAACTAGCTAACTTCACAAATTTGAAGATTTTGTACAATTTCTTTGAAAATGATGAAAGATATGTCTGATTTAGCAGGGTAATGTCGCAGCCAAATGGCAGTCACTCTTTCTGACACAGTCCGGATCGAAAGATGACGATACTCGTGAAATGTATTGATACTTCTAAATATAGGATCCTATCGATCATCCCTACTGTCAAGATGTATAACCCAAGGTACCGACGGAGCTATTTTGCGGCGTCATGGAAATAATTTTAAATTTGCATTTTTTCGAGTGTTGCGCAATGATTTTGGGAAAAATGTCGCGAATAGTCTTATAAAGCATAGTAGAGTATATTACAACAGTTGGCGGAACTTACTCCACTGGACCAGGAGGGTAAAACGGGATATTAATGCACAATCTGGCAACCCTATCGCACCCTCACAAAATGGCCGCTGACAACCACACAAGTCACCATGTTGTGATTGAATAAGATGGAATTAAACCTTCAGAATATGTTTTGTGACTGGTACCAAGTGTTGTCAGAGCCCACACTGGTTTCACTCCTTGAAATGCAATAATCAGCTGTATTCAAATAACGTCTAATATAAATATAACCCAGAATATCTACTCAGTGAAAAAATAAAAATATTGCAAATTTCTAGTTTTTCTGCAGGTTTTAGGTTTGCTGGTAACTCTACGACATATATTTGGGTATTTCTTAATCGCTAATATAGTGTGGATGTTTGTTAAGTTCCGTAAAAAAGAAAAATATTCAACTTTATGGATGTATGGATATTAAAAAACCAGAACGGTTTTGTGGGAATATCAATCTAAGGTGCCATAATGGTTCTGATGAACGGCAAGTAAATGAATGAAAGTTTGGAAACGAGCAATATCTATGAACTTTTTGGTAGAGCCAGTCATCAAGTAGGTGCTTAATGGCTATCTGCAACAGGTTTATTGGAAAAAACACCCAGTAGATGATCTTGAATCAGTAAAATCGCATATCAATTGAATAAAATAATATTAGCATGAATAAAAAATCAAAAATGGTAATTCAAACATTAATTTTATTCAAAAATTAAACATTTGTTCAAATTTTGATTGAATTACATATAATTTCTCAATATTCAATAAGCTGGTGATGTTTCAACGACAAGATGTCATCTCATACTTTGACAATATTTTGTTTTCAACATTTCATAGCTATTGGTTGCTAAAATTTGTTGATTGGAACTTGAAGCTCATTCGCTGTATTTGACGGACTGTTACCCTATAGGTGGAGAATAACAGACTGTTGTTGGTGAAATTGGCGCTAAAACTATGGG